GAGCAATTGGACAATCTTTATGAATGTGAGAAGACAAAAGAAAATTAAAGGTTTACCTTCTATGGAAGGGCAGGGGGGTGCTTTTTATCAATGGACTAAAGCAGTAGTTCTAAACCTTAAGGTGATAGCTTTGCCTTTCAGGGGACAGTTTGCAACATCTTGGGATATTCTTGGTTGTCACAACTTGGAGACCTGTTACTCCTAGCATCTGGAAAATAATCTGGGGCCAACATCAAGATTTAATTAGGAATCTAAGTCCTTAATTAGGAACTTCCTACTTTGGATGGCACCATGTCACTCCTTTTTAAACATATTCTCTCTGCTTGCAACTAACAATACAGTAAGATGGCAATGACACAAATAGTACTGCCATAATTGTCAGTGAAACTCTCAGAAAAGTCCTATATTTTAACTGTCACTTGTTACCTGATTGAGAGAGAAGAAGACACTCCCTCCTAGGAGATGCTATATATTTTTCAAAATTCTCTTATGAAAGACCTAAACTTTGCAAGTTTAACTGTAAGTATTCTCACCAAGTTAGAGAGGATTTGTGAACTGCAGTTTATTTTTTAAAGTATTATACAGTCAAAAAATAACATTGACTTCAAATTTTAGTACTCCTGAGGGCCTGAAATGAGGATATAGAACAAGATCTCTTGTTCTCCTAAACAGAAGTTGAGCCAATAACATAGAGTACTTTATGAGCCAGATAATGTCTGGTGTCCTGGAGCTAAAGAAAATGTTGGCACGTCTTGCAAAATCACAGCTGTTCCAGTCTCATTTAGTGACTGGCCACATTTCCTGCAGCCCAGTTTGCCTTTTGAAATATAGCTCAGCTAGCTATTCTGCAGCATGACAAAAAGGCCCCTGACAAAGAAGGGTTTTTATAATCTCTTTGTCTCAAAAGCTTTAAAAATCTTGACAAGCTCTACTAAGAAACACACATTACTTTTTAAGAAGATGCATAGAGATTTCTTAATACATGCAAAATTGTGTATGTTTTTATCAACAAATAAAATGCACTTTGGAAACATGAGGGTAAAAAGATACCTTTCTAAGAAGAAAAAACAAAATGTTGAACTATTTTAACTATACGCAATTCTAGTATAAGAAACGATTTCTGTGACTTCTTTCATGTACAATGTGCATTTTTAGACTGCAGAACAAAGTCTGCCTGTAACCCATCTGAGTCGGACCTTTCAAGTAGATAATCAACTAACAATTCTTAATCAATTAAAGGATGAAATGAAAATAAACTTAAGCTGTTGATCAAATGGTAGCATTCAGTTTTTTAAATTATGTGACTCTGTTTTGAAAGTTGTTAAAATTTCAAAATTTAAAATCATGACACTCAAGTAAATACAATTGTAAGACTCTACAGTCAAAAGTTTATTAAACCAAAATCTTCAAAAAGGTAAACCCGCAACCCTTATGCAAATATAAAATTAACATATTCAAAGATTTTATTAAAATAATTAATAACAAGGAAACTAGTAAGATGACACTATGATTTCAAGAGTGTTTCAAAAGCTAAATATTTACAGGCAAATGTTAGGATAAGATTGTTGGACAAATTAAAAAAAAAAACCAAAAAACTGGCTAATGTCCAACAGGGTAATAATTTGTAAAGCCATTAAGGTAGGATTGCTTTATCCACCAGACAGAAATTATTTGTATCTTCCTGGGGTAAAAATCTACAAGTTAACCTCTGCTTTAGAGCAATGTTAAATAGTCCATTCAATACAAAATCAAGTCCAGCATTGCACTGAAAGAACACTTGAGGCTATTTCCAAGTGTCCAATACCTTTTCTGACAAGTCAAATCATCTTTCATTCATGAAAGTTCCTGATTCTTGATAACATTATTTATTCTTTAGAGAAATGCCTTCATCATCTTTATTTGACTTATGTATCAATACAATTTCCACATCATATTTTCAAGCTAGTGCTCTAAATGTGCCTTATTTAATCTGTACTGAGATAAATATTAGAATTTCATAAGACAATGTATAGATGAATCTACATTTAGGTTATTTTATTTCAGTCACTGGATATAATTTACCATATACCTAAAAGCACAGTGGTATAAACAGGCTATTACAGAAGTTTAGAGATTATAAATATTTTGAGCACAAGTCTAAGACATTTTATATTTTAATAAGTTCCCCAGGTACCTAATAAATTTATTAAATATGAATGCTACCAAGGAAGCCTTAAATATAATGGTAAGACTCACATCAAGCAAAGAAAACCCCAAATTAGTATCTTCTTATAATTTATGATATCTGTTAAGTAATTTGCTTACCACCTAAAAGAATGCTAAATGTACACCAAGGGAAGGCATAATATCATTATTAATGATATCAAATATATGCATACACAAACACAGTCTAGTATAATTCTCGACTATTCAATTATTTCTTTTATCATGGATAAAGGTAGCAAACATTCCCTCAGAGTTCACTTCTGAAAAGCAGTTCACCTATAAAACAAGATAAAAACAAAACAACAACAACAAAAACACTGACAAAATTTAAAGTACACATCTTTAATTTTTAACATTTTTATGACACATTTTTAAGACATGTATTTATTTTCATAATATCAGTTTAAAAATAATCACACAAGAATAAGCTTTTGTATGTCTGCCTATGTAAACTGCTCTATTTTAAATTTATCAGATTATAAATAAACCCCATAATGTGCAATGTGAACCAAACTGCAGCATAATGAGTACATTTGAAAGGCACAGAGTATCTCATTGTTTCAGTAAGAGAAGAGTATTACTTATTAGAATGAAAAGCCTGTCCTGAAGTCATCCATTATTCAAAAATAATATAACATGAATTATTCACTGATTCTAAAACAACATATATTGTTAAAAAGCAAAGGTGACTAAATTAAACATGTGTTCCTGGACCCGTCATTTGATACTTTGCATTTCAGAAAAACTGGAGACAAACAATGAGACCCACCAGCTGGAGGACCAAGTTGCCCAGAAGAGGTATAGGTTAAGATGCAAAATCAAAGCCACTTCTGAGGAACCTGGGATTTCCAGCACCAGTATCACAAAGTTGGACAAGATGGTATATTCCATGAAAGGCATATTAAAATGCAAATATGCCACCTAGATAAGACAAGGTATAAGGCAACTTGATAAAGAATTATTTTAATGTAGAATTTGCATCTCCAGACTTCTGTTAGGCCAATGTCTCATTAATATGCTGATTATTGAGACATAAAGTGATCTTAAAAAGACCAAACAGAGCAGGCAGCAGTGGAGACTCAGCAGAGCCCACATGAACTTAGAAAGTGTGGGGCAGAGGGTGGGGGAGGCGCGCTCAGGGCTACAGAGGGAACCCTGAAGACAGTATGGTCTGAAGGCCAGCTCTCTAAGAGTCAGCTGAGAAGTGAGGGTGCTAAAAATGTAAGCCTAGAAAAGTTATAATTAGAGGATCAAATGATGCCCTTTTCCTCTGTCTACGTTTTCTTATAATCTACATGTTATGTCACTTTGCCTCAAACGTTTGTATAAATTAAAATCTATAGACAGGTTAGCCTTTATCATACTGTCTTCAGTAGTTCTACTCTTCAGTGATTCTGAGAAACCCTTATTAGAACGCAGAAAATGGGATGCACTTTAGGAATAACATGCAGAACTGAGAAATCATAGATGCTCTATGTGAACATCTATCAAACACCATGATGTAGATGCCTCCAAGGACATGTGGTGCAGTGGTAAAGAATCCACCTGCCAGGCAGGAGACATGGGCTCGATCCCTGGGTCAGGAAGATCCTTTGGAGAAGGAAATGGCAACCCACTCCACTATTATTGCCTGGAAAATTCCATGCACAGAGGAACCTGGAGGGCTACAGTCTATGGGGTCGCAGAGTCGAACACGATTTATTGACTAAACAACAGAGTTCAGAGAGAATTGTTTGAGGCTAAATATCCTCCAATTTCCTGTTTCTAGTCATGTGATTTCACTTGAGGAGAAGTGATCAGAGTTGGGTTTTAACTTATTTTGCTCCTATTTTTCATATTAGAATAAGTCAAACAATATATTCAAACACACTCAATATCTGGCCCTATTGTCAAATCTGGACAATATCAATTAATTCCATTTAAATACAATTACAAAGAACAAGCTTGAATAAATCCACTATTATTTATGAAATAAGCAGAAATTATAGCTTATCCTTAGTAAAAATGACAAAAAATGTAAAAAGAGCATCTACCCAACCAAAAGACACTCAATAAGCGTAGTTTCACATATGCAACTTTATACCTAAAAATTGAATTTTTAAGCCACCAACTATAAGTTGGACCAAAACAGAGAGTAAAGCTACCTAATGTACAAACTTTCAGATGTAGGTTTCTATACTGATGACAAAATGTTAATACATTTCCAAAAGGGAATGGGAAATGAGATTCTTGTGTTGAGGATCACAGAGCTGGCTGATCATTTTTAGATATAATAGAATATACACTGGGGGTTTTACAAATAAACCAACATTTCTCCTTAGAATTACTATAGAGTCTGAAGTTTCTGAAGGTTATACACCTCCATTTTCCAGTGTAGAGTTGCCTCTGGGTAGTGTTAAAACTGCTGTCTGTTCTAACAGTCAACAACAGAAAGATGTCCAGAACTGTTCCCATTAGTATTTGGTCAAACCAGCAAATGGCATCAAATTGGATTTATTAAAGGAATCACCACTTCTCGTTCATACTATCCTATTAACCGATGTGACAGATGCTTTAACACAACTAACTGGGATAAAAATTGCAACCATTCTGCTCTCAGATGTTGAGACTCCAGGTCATGATATTAAAGGAAAATGTAAACAGATACCTTTTAGCTGTATATTTGCAAAAGCTTTTAAAGACTGCTCTTGTGCTCAGGCTCATCATATTTACTAGATTAAATTCATTTACTTTGTGTATTCATCTCCACTGCCTCATCTCTGAAAGCACTGAACCGCTAGCCAGAAGACCTCTGGTTATTCGTTCATAGGTAACACTTTGGCCCCATGTGCATTGATGTAGGTGAGCAGGATCTTGGCTCTCTGCTCTACCACATCGATCAGCTTTTCGATGCCCTGTCTACCCCCCTGACTTTCCCAGTAGACTTTATCAAGAAACAGAGACTGAAGGAGTTTCTGCCGTAAGTGCTGGCTCTTCAAAACAGAAACTGCAGATTCGGGAAACCTGAAAAGAGAAAATGATATTTCATTCTTCGTAATTGCTTGGAAATACTATGCCCTGCCCAGTGGTTTGGCCAGTCACTAATCTGGTATAAATCATACTATCAGATAATACTTTGAGGATCAAAACATTGCTGTCAGTGTCTAGCTTACACTTCTCAATAATTATGTAATAGAAGAACAGATTTCAAAGGAACTGAGTTTTCTATACCACTGAGAACTTGACATGCCAATGTCTTACTTAAGATCATTATATGTAGGCAGAGACAGGGACAGAATTAGCAAGAATTCTGATAATCTGGAAAAGTACTTTCCTCAAATTTAAACTCCATTGCATCCATAAGAAACCACCTTAAACTGTTGAGTAGAATCCTGTCCTCTTAAGGGTCAACATGAGATTATATGCAAGAAAATATGAGAAGTAAAAAAAAAAAATGCTGACAATGTCAGTAAATTACTCTTCCTGAAGCAGAGTTGCATGACCACCTTAAACTGTTGAGTAGAATCCTGTCCTCTTAAGGGTCAACATGAGATTATATGCAAGAAAATATGAGAAGTAAAAAAAAATGCTGACAATGTCAGTAAATTACTCTTCCTGAAGCAGAGTTGCATGAATTAACTTAATGAGAAATTATACCAAATACATGTAGTGTAAAGAAAGAAGTCACACCAAAATGCCCAATTAAAGACTGAAATGCCTTTTGTTCAGATAATACTTCAAAAATTCTAAGAATCTGGAAACATTATATTAAACCAGAATATTAATTTGTTTTCAAATAAATTTAGCAAAACTCAAGTTTGAGGGCCAGGGTACTCTACAAGGAAGCACCTCTCTGGAAAACCTGAGGTCAATTTAGAGGGATCCTTGCTGAATTACCTAAAGAAGGGCATTACGATTTCTGCTCCTCATTTAGAAAGAATAAAGGAAGGGATACAGCACATACATTATCTAAAGGATTTAGTAAAATTTCTGGTTCAAAATTAAAAGCAACGTTTTACTGAATCTCCAATTTGGCCTCTCTCCCAGCTTTCATTAAAATGCTGATAAAAGTGCAGTACAAATACTGAGATTTAAGAGTAAATTTAGTAGTTCCTTAAACACTAAAACAGAATATATATTTGTTCCAAGAGTACAGTTTGCCAAGAGCTTCAGTCCTCTAAGCATCTTTTCCAAATGTCAATGGATCAAGCTGGGGATGGCACTGAAGGGGCATGAATACAGCAGTCCATATGTTCCAGCATTTCTGATGTTGCCAAGAGACCAAAGGCCAAAGAGCTGGATGTGCTTAACGAGTCTGAGTAAGTGTGTAATTAAATAATGTTAATCAGATGCTCTGAGCACCCCAAAGACATGTCCTTTAGAGTTTAGTAACCATAGTATTAATTAAGCATTTTTGCTATAGGAAGTATTAATAATCCATGATTTATTAATTCTCTGGCCCTTGAACTAACCTAGCTCTGGCAGAATGTACAAGATGAAACTGCTATATTCATGGATCTCTTTAGTGTCTAATCCTTTGCATAAAGAAAAATCAAGAAAATTACCTGACTCTGTGCTATGCTGCTTAATGGAAATATTCTATGCATAAATCTGGGTTAGTGAAATCTTCATTTTTGCTTTTGAATGTGGAAATTGCATATTCAAAGAAGATTTAACTTTAAACCCATTACTCTTTATAATGCGTTTAGGGTTAAATCTCCTTTGAAAGCATAAGTAAAATGTTATTCATATTTTTATGAATGTATGAGAGAGATAGATTCTCCAAGCACTATTAATTCTAAGAGGAAATCCAGGGATTTAAGAAGACTCCATAATATCGACTTAGTAACTGATGCCACTGGTATGTAAATTTTCCTACACATAAAATTTTCTCAGCTCAGACACTTAGCAGACACTTATATTTTACCTTCCATCCACAGAGGTGTAAGAAATGGGTATTAACAGAGAAAGTCATGGCAAGAACTCATGAAAATGGATGTCCTGAAACTCATTAACTCTAGCATTGGAAATACATAAAATTCCCCATTACCTAATTCATGATGCTAGGAAGAATTATTGAAATATGCTTCAGAGTTTTGTTAACAAGAAAAATAGTAACAGCAGAAATGCCATGAGTTACTGCAGAAAAATGGCTGAACTTGGGGTTGGAGGACCTGGGTTCTACTCTCAATTTTAGACTTGCTCATGTGTCCCCAGCAATCACTCGACTTCACAAGGCTGGTGGACTGTTTCACTAGAGCACCCTCCTATTTTCAAGTCTCGGACACACACCCCAGTTTCTTAGTGACCCTGATTTCTGACCAAGGCTGAAAGACAATGAAGGGAACTTCCCTGGTGGTGCAATGGATAGGAATCCACCTGCCAATTCAGGGATGCAGGTTTGATCACTGATCCCAGAAGATCCCACATGCCATGGGCAACTAAGTCCACGGACCACAACTACTGATTCCACACTCTATACCCTGCGAGCCACAACTACTGAGCCTGTGCTCCACAACAAATAACCCTCATTCACCGTAACTAGAGAAAACCCATGTGCAGCAATGGAGACCCAGTGCAACCAAAAATTAATTAATCAATTAAGAAAAAAGAAAGAAAGACAATGAATGGGTGCTTATGAAGGGGAGTCTGAAATGTAGCTTCAGTTCCAATGTTTGGGGATGAATATCTCAGACTCTACAGTGAGGTCCCTGCCACTATGGAGCATCTTAGTTTCCTTTATTTCCAAATACTTCTTGACTGTAAGCTCAAGATACTTGTCCCCATAATCTATGTCTACAGAAGGATTTCCAAATACTCAGAAACTCTCTTACCTGAATTGAACAGCCATTATTCTTGGCTACTGTGTTCTACTCAGCAGGTTGCCTCTAACTTCCCATGTGTTTATCAAAGTCACTGAGTTTATTCTGCCCTGGGACATCCTGCCTTGTCAGTATTTGAATGTCTGTTGGTTCCCCCATCCTGCACCCTGTAACGGAGCCCTGTGACCTGCTCACCTCCACCAGGCTAGTTCCTATTCCAGAGACGCCTGCATGCTTCCGACCTCATCCCATCTGGATTTTCACACTGAGGGCCAAGCAACATGATGCCTGTGAAAGGCAGCGGGACCTCTGTAGGTTGCACAAGTTAGTTACAGTGAAACCTGGCTGCACCCTTTTTCTACTTCCCTTGGGTTTGGTTCCCTTCTCTGGGCCTCCATTCCCAGATTCTCTTTAAGGGTTAAATTGATCAGACATAGGATATGAGTCTTCTCAAACCTTACTACGTATTCAATAGAAATGCAAAATCCTGCGGATGTTACTACATCAGGAAACTTACTCTCTGATGCCTTCTAAGAGTTTGAAGTTCAAGTTATCTTCACTTCTGTCAAAGAAACCTTTGTTATCTATAAAAACCAAGTGTCTTGGGTCCTGCTTTCGCTGAACAATGTGGGCTAGAACCACGGCATCCTGGTTGTCGCATTTTGAACTCTGTCCACTCTGTACACAGGCATCTTCCTTCCGAGGTCGGAACCCACAGCAATTGGTATCCAGGCGGTTATAAATCTGAAAGGGAAGACAAAAACAAAATCCAAGATACTGAGTAAAAACAAAACTTGGGAAAGTTAGATTTCTAAAGAACAAGTACTTTCCAAGTGGCTGACTTGCCAGAATTTAATTGGGGCCAGGTTCGTTTAATTAACTGTCAGAATAAGTCCAAATTTCATATCCTTCTGACCCAACTCGAATAACAGCTCCATAGGCAGATCATCCAAACTAAGCATCTCCACCCTTCACATTCAGAGTTCCCACTGACATCATATGTCGACGTGTGGCCAGAAGAATCTCTGATGCTACTTGGAACAGAAGATATGAATCACTGTACTTGGATACATCCAGAAAATCTGGGCTATCTCAGTGGCTCCAAAAGTTTACTGCATTCCCTAACTCTCTGGATTTCAGTATTACAGTATAAAACTCCAAGTTATTGAGAACAAACCTATGGAAAAGATGTGATATCTGACAATGATAGCCCAATGATAATGGGAGCGCAAAGTTAGATTCTAAATGAATGAGCAGAACACTTTGGTTTATTGGGGTTTATTGTGGGAGTAGGGCGACCACCCTACAGAGGGCAGACATTAACTAGGAAAGGGAGAATTGGGTTACTTCCATATCTTTTTGGCAAGGGAAAAAATAATGTTTATTAATCATGGTAAATTAAAGCCTAGGCTAAGTAGTTAGATAAATTTAAACTCAAGTTTCTTCTTTGCAGTTCCACAAACTTGTAGAGCTCCCTTTACAATACTGAGTCTCAATTTAATTATCTGTATATCAGGAATCATACTATTAGCCTTGTACTTTTGGTGGGTTAAGGACACAAAAGTGTCTGGATACACTTCAGCCTGACCCAGGCATCTAGAAGATACTCAAAAAGTGAAAATTGTCATTACTATTGTTGAGACACACATGCACACACTGTATGAAATGACTGACCTCAAAACAAGCTTCCGAAACAAAAGGTAGTTTCTCCATTTCAGTGAAGGAAAACTGAGCTTCAGAGAGGTTAAATATTGTACCCTGCATAGAATTTTAGTAAGTTGCAAAGTTAAGATTCAGACGCAGTTGTGTTTATCTTCGAACTGCCACATTTCTCCCTAATACACCACATTGAATAGTTTGTCTAGTTGAAGATTGTACGTATGCTCAAGATTCAAAAGATGGCTTGACACAGATTGTCTTTATTTTTTAATTATTTGGGAGTACCACCCAGCACGTGGGATCTTAATTCCCCGACCAGGGATTGAACCTCTGTCTCCTGCATTGAAGCACAGAGTCTTAACTACTGGACCACTAGGGAAGTCCCCAAGCTGTCATTTCTATTCTTTTGTCATTTTAAGTCTTTTGTTCTTTTATTTACTAAACTCCCATCTCTTCTCTTCCTCCTGTTTTTTTTTTTTTTTTTTTTTTTTTTTGCAGACCCTATAGGGCTGGTCACTCTGGGTTGTTAATTGCTAAGACAGAAATGCAGAAAGAGTAGTACCAAAATTGAGCCTACGTTGCAAAAATCCTGCATTTATTCTTCCAACAAATGTTTATGTAACATCTTCTACCACCCAGCAGTGGGCCAGGCACTGAGGCAAATGTCACCCAGGGCCAGCACCCCACCCAAACCAGCACTACTTCCACAGGGAAATGAATCAGTTTAGTTTTGCCTCGCTAACACAGCAAACCCACGACCAGACAAATGACCCTCCTCTCTGCTTTCTGCAGGTAAGCGGACTTTGCATCAAAAAGCATACTTTGGGAAGCAGTGGTTATAAGAGAAGTTAGCGTAAGCCAATTTTCTTTGAAATTTATATAAAAGCAGTCACATGGGATGAGGTGCTCCATGAGTCACCAGCCTCTTGGACAGTTCAGAGGGTATGGTCGGTGCTGGTCGAGAAACAGTCTACAGATCAGGGGGCCTTGGCAGAACTAGCTTCAGGCAAGCTGATCCATGGGATCATGGGCCTAACCAGGGGTTTATCCAAAAATGTCACACTGGCTGTCTCCAGGGCACATAAGATCCCAGGGCTGGTTGAATGTTTCCCAAAGGTGAGCAAGAGAGCCCCAACCACATCACTGTGGTTAAATGAAAAAAGCATAAGTTGGAAACTACTAGAAAAATGAAAAATGAATTGACTCCTTTCTCCTCAATTGATTCCTTGTATGTATTATAATTGACTCCTTTCTCCTCAATTTGATTCCTTTTATGTATTATCTTGACAAATTTGAATATAAGGGAAATCAAATGATATGAAGAGGTGGTATGTGCTTGCCAGTCATTCAAGTTACCATCAAGGGGTCAGGGAGAATGTAAAAAATAACTCTTCAGGGAGCTGATTCTCATTCAATGTCCCTTTTTTTTATATATACTGTAGCTAATAATCCTCAAAGAGTCTCTATACCCTATTCCCATCATCATTGTATGCTTTTATCCAATTATAATGACATTATATATGGGGGAAAGCTTAATCTTATTTCACTTTGGCTACAACATTAAGGTGTGTTGTATTGGATAAGTGTGTTTGGAGCTTTACTTGTAAGGACACATCTACCAACCAGTTCTTAAATGGTGCTCTGAACCCTAAGCTCTTTCTTCATTGTTGATTTCTAGTAGCAGGAAAGTACCAAAACAAATAGCAGCATTTCTGTTGTCACTACAACAAAGCTAGGGGTATCACATATAATATTGTTTGATAACAAGCAATTTAGCATCTAGGCCCTAACCTCTAGTACTCTATAAATATTATATCTTTCTGTTTTTAGACTACAAGAAAGCATTAAGGGTTAGAAGTGAGACAGAGCAACTTAGAGCATCCTTTTAAAATCATTATTGAAGTACATTATTGGAGCTTTACAAAGTTGTGTTAGTTTCTGCTGCCCAACAAAGTGAATCAACTATAGGTATACACATATCCCCTCCCTCTTGGATTTCCCTTCCACCTGCCATCCTGCCCCTCTAGGATCACAGAGCACTGAGCTGAGCACCTTGTGCTAGACAGCAGCTTCCCACGAGCTATCTATTTTACACATCATGATGTATTAGTTTGGTGCAGAAGTAATTGCAGTTTTACTTGTTGAACTTTGTCATTCGATGTTGGAATACATTCTTAAATAAATGTGGTTATGTTTATACATCATTTTAATGCACATTTCTTGCTTTATTTATTTTGTTAATGACTTATTACTTGCTGTTTATTTTGTATTTATTTTAAACTACAGAAATGATGTTAGACACAAAGCAAATTCGAGTGACTTTTTTATTCAAGTTCAAAATGGGCCATAAAGCAACAGAGACAACTTGTAACATCAACAGTGCATTTGGCCCAGGAACTGCTAACGACTCTACAGTGCAGTGAGTCAAGAAGTAGGTCAAGAAGTTCTGCAAAGGAGACAAGAGCCTTTAAGATGAGAGTGAAATGACCGGTTATCGGAAGTTGACAAGGACCAGTTGAAAGCAATCATCGAAGCTGATCCTCTTACAACTACAGAAGGAGTTACCGAAGAACTCAACAGAGACCATTCTATAGTCATTGGACATTTGAAGCAAATTGGAAAGGTGAAAAAGCTTCATAAGTGGGTGCTTCATGAGTTGATTGCAAATCAAAACAATTGTTTTGAAGTGTCTCTTCTTTTATTCTATGCAACAACAATGAATGATTTCTTGATTGAAGTGTGACATGAGACAAAAAGTGGATTCCATAAAACAACCAGTGGATGACCAGCTTAGTGGTTGGACTGACAAGAAGCTCCAAAGCACTTCCCAAAGCCAAACTTGTACTAAAAAAAGTCATGGTCACTCTTTGGTGGTCTGCTGCCGGTCTGACCCAACACAGCTTTCTGAATCTTGGTGAAATAATTACATCTGAGAAGTATGCTCAGCAACTTGATGAGGCACTGAAAGCTGCAATTCTGCAGCCAGCATTGGTCAACAGAAAGTGCCTGTTTCTTCTCCACAACACCACCAACCTGTATGTTGCACAACCAATGTTTTAAAAGTTCAGTGAATTGGGTTACGAAGTTTTGCTCATCTGCCATAGTCACCTGACCTCTCACCAACTGACTACCAATTCTTCAAGCATCTCAACAACTTTTGGCAAGGAAAATGCTTCCACAACTAGCAGGAAACAGAAAATGCTTTCCAAGACTCCGTGGAATCTGGAAGCATGAATTTTTACACTACAGGAATAAGCAAACTTATTTCCAGTTGGCAAAAATGTATTGAGTGTAATGGTTCCTATTTGATAAATGAAGATGTGTCTGAGCCTATTTATAATGATTTCAAATTCGCAGGCCAAAATTGCAATTGCTTTGGTACCAACCTAATACATGTTTCAAAGCTAGTCTCTCAAGTCATCCCACTCTCTCCTTCCCTTGCCGTGTCCACAAGTCCATTCTCTACATCTGCATCTCTATTCTTGCCTTGCAAATAGGTTCACCAGTACTGTTTTTCTAGATTCCATATATATGCCTTAATATATATTTATTTTTCTCTTAACTTAGTTCACTCTGTGTGATGAGCTCTAGGTCCATCTTTTTACTGCCTTCCCAACGTGAGATTGTTTCCAATGGTGTATGTTTTTTCCCCCCAATAGTGTATTTTTAAAGCATTTTGTCTGATCCAATTTGAATCATTCAACAGTCTATGATGATTTCACCACTTCCCTGTCAGACTGTTGTGCCCTTCAAGTCTCACAGACCCTGTTATTGAAGGTAGGTGTGTGATTTCAGCCTATCTTCTCTTCCAAAAATGTTTATCGCTACTTTTATTCAGATAATGCATGTACTTGGTGAGTATATCACCACTTTTCAAATGGGGTATGTGTGTGTGTGTGTGTGTATATGTGTGTGTACACATACAGAGAATCACACTGTAAGGCTTCAAATAATTGCTTTACTTTGTTTTTCTTAGCCTCCCCTATAGTAAACTATGTCTTTGTTTACTGGCCTTGTCTCCTAAGGGCCTAAGCAGCTTTTAAATATCACTCCCTACGTCTTCCCAGAATTGTGTTTATGGGCTC